CCACCATTTGTTACGCAATCCTTCATGCCCTGTTGGTTTGCCATAATTACTCCCCTTTCCAGCTGGATTGAACTGGAGTTGGGCATTTTCTCTGCTCCAGCCACCTTGAACGAGATTAGAATAACTTCTTCAACATGAGGATAGGGAGCTATTCTCATTCTTTGCCTTGCTGGACAGATTATAAACCTGACTAACTGTGCCAAGATGTTCATCTTATATTTTGGAATGATTGATTCTATAGTGGAATCTCGCAACCCTTTGCAATGCCTGCTGTTCGCTTAATGCCAAAGGTTTCCAGTTACTCTATCTTTCATCTGCTCTTTGATCAACAATATTATCAGCCTTCATACCAGGTTTAGCTATATTTGCAGGTTTTAAACATTCTTTCACAGGAAGGTCTCAAATGTCAAACAACGATTTGTCCCCAAAACTTTATAATTTAGTGCTTGTGTGGTTTAACTTTGCAGATTGGTCAGTGCAGTAACACGACAAGTTTACACAAATTCAGCTAATCTCAAATTATCACTGTCTGACTTCTCACAGGCGCTATGCCATTGAATTTGCTATTGTGCCGATTAGAATGATTGACAGCTTTGACACAAACTGGAGTTCCGCATTATAAGATTTTGAGTCATTGCAATTTCACTGAATGAAATTCATCATGTTTTTGAATATTTGTTTTCAGGATAGGAACATCAATGGCAAACTGAGTTATTTATTGCCCATCCTCACCTGACCTTGAGACAGGATAACTGGTTGCCTTCTTAAATCATTAGGGATAATCAGCATGGTTTTGTGCTAAGCGAATTGTGTCTCACAAACTTGAGTTTTTTGAGGAAGTAACCAAAAGGATTGATGAAAGTAGAGCAGTAGATGTTGTTTACTTTGACTTAAGTAAAGCCTTTGACAAGGTTCCGCATGGTAGACTAATTGGTAAAGTTAGATCACATGGGATTCTGGATGAGCTTGCCAATTGGATACAAAATTGGCTCTATGGTAGAAGACAGAGGGTGGTGGTGGAGGGTTGTTTTTCGGACTGGGGGCCTGTGACCACCAGGGTTCTGCAGGGATTGGTATTGGATTCACTTTGGTTTGTCATTTGAATGAATAATTTGGATGAGAATATGGGAGGCATGGTTAGTACGTTTGCAGATGACCCCAAAATTGGCAGTATAGTGGACAGTGAAAAAGATTATCTAAGATTACAAAGAGATCTTGATCAATTGGATCAATGGGCTGAGTAGCAGATAGAGTTTAATTTAGATCAATGCGAGGTATTGCATTTTGGTAAACAAACAAGGGCAGGACTTATACAGTTAATGGTAGGGCCCTGGGTAGTGTTGAAAGTTGCAACACAGGCATAGAGGGTGGTTATGAAGGTATTTAGCATGCTTGCCTTCATTGCTCAAGACCTTTGAATATAGGAGTTGGGACATCATCTTGAGGTTGGTCAGAACGTTGGTGAGGCCTCTCTGGAGTAGTGTGCACAGTTTTGGTTGCCCTGTTATAGGAAGGATATTATTAAACTGGAAAGGGTTCAAACAAGATTTACCAGGATGTTGTTGAGAATGGAGGGTTTGAGTTATAAAAATAGGGCTGGGACTTATTTAAGGTGAATAGCAAAAGGTCTTTTCCTGAAGGTGGGAGTGTTCAGAACTAGAGGGCATATTTTTAAAGTGAAAAGAGAAAGATTTAACAACGACATGAAGGTCAACTTTTTTTTTTAGAAACACGAACCACTCCATGTGTGGAATGAACTGCAAGAGTAAATGGTGGATACAGATACGGTTACAACATTTATTAGGCATTTAGATAAGTACATGAATAGGAAAGATATGGAGAGATATGGGCCAAATGTAGACAGTTGGGACTGGTTGTGTTTGGGGACATGGTCAGCATGGACTGGTCAGACCAAAGGGTCTGTTTCTATGGTATATGACTATGACTATTTACAAAGCTAATAAAATGTATGTTCATCCACAAGTCCTGTTTGGAAAGGAGTTCTACCCAGTCACAGCGAGACAGCAACAGTATATTCTTAAATCAGAATAGCATGAAGTTGAGAGAAACTAGCAAGTGGTGTTTTCATGTTTCTGTTGCTCTTGTTCTTCTATCTGATAGAGTACAGGTTTGTAAGATGCCAAAGAAGATTTGGTTAGCTGCTGCAGTTTCTCTTGTCGATGACAGTGGTGGTGCAGCTACCACTGAGCTGGTGGTGGACAGCTTAGAGTTTGGTACACAAGATACCTGTATTGTCCTGCAACTGACTATCGCCTTGATTGTTACTCATCTAGGCAAGCATAGAGTGTTCCATCATATTCTTGACATCTGCTGTTTAAATGGGGGTTAGGCCTTGGAACATTTGGAAGTGAATTACTCAAGGCAAAATTCAGACTCTGCCCTGTGTTCTTGTAGACATTCTATTCATGCAGCTGGTCTACTTAAGGTACCGGTCAATGGTAACCTGTAGGATCCTGATGGTGAAGGATTCAGCACTGGTAAGGTCACTGGATATCAAAGTAAAATGGTTAAGATTCTCTCAAATTGGATTAAATTGTCTAAAAATCAAAGAACTGTGGATGCCGTAAATTAGAAACAAAAACAGATTGCTGGAAAAGCTCAGCAGGTCTGGCAGCATCTGTGGAGAGAAAACAGAGTTAACCTTTCGAGTTGAATGACCCTTCCTCGGAATGGGATTAATTGCTTGCCACTTGTGCAGCATAAAATGATACTTTTCAGTCCAGCTCAGATGTTGTCCAGACCTTGCTGTGTGATGAAGGCACATGATATATTAGGAAACTTGGGTTCTAAAATACACAGGACAATGGTATCACTTTAAATTTGATTTGTACTTTTTTATTGCACTGAAGAATGAAGGAGATAGTTTTAGGTTCGTTTCTAAGCATGGCGATGGGTTGCCTGAAGTTTGCATTCCATACATATTTAAAATCCTTGAGGTGAATAGTTCAGTCCATTCGTAGTAACAAGGGTAGAAGAGAAAATAAAACCTGCTATTGCTAGTTACAGCAGTGCACTATCTCAAACTTAGAATCATCCAGATGATCAGGCAGGTTCAGTCAGAGCAAAAAGGTGCCATTAGTACAGCAGTATCCAAAAAAAAACAGTCCTGAGTAGTACAGATCAAAAACTCGAGAAGCTGAAAGTAGTTGGAAGTGGAGGTATGGAAAAGCCAAGTGTTTGCTCTGAAAGTGTCTAGAATTCAGTAAGAAAGCAAGCTCTAGAAACAACTTTCAGCTGTGCCAACTGAATAAGGAAAGTTAAAGCGAATAAAAGATGAACCCTCACTGGGGCTTCATATGTGCAATGTTATGCTGAGAGTGAAAGGGTTGAATCTTTACTTCTGATAACTATGGCAAGACTGTTTTAAATAGTTTGTTGCTTTTCTTTTGTAATAAACTTTGAAACCCTATTGTTCACTTGTTTGGTTACTTCTTGTAAATATGTTCAGTGGGTGATCACCAAGGTAAACAAATAGCAAAAATAAAACTTGTGGTCTTTCAAGTTAGGTTTCACCTTGACTTCTGACTTGTCCAGTATGACTATCAGCTGGGATCATAATAGCTGCATGTAGGCAAGGACAACTTCATTAACTGAGAAGCAGTGAATGGAATTAAGCACTAACCACTCCTGACCTTATGATGGAGGGAAGGTCATTGATAGGCAGAGCTAAAGACAGTTGAGGTGAAGATGATACTAAGAGGAACTGGGCAGTTATACTGCAGTGGGTAGCGTTCCTATCTCAGAGACAGGAGGCCCTGCTTCAAATCCCACCTGCTCCAGAGTTATGCAATAGCATCTTTGAATGGAGTGATTAGAAAATATCTATCATGAGGAACTTGGGGTGAGGTACTTGTCACTACCTCTTAGCCAGGAGGCCTGGGTTCAAGGTACTACAATTTTTGGTCAATGTATGATTCACAAGTAACCTATCAGAGAGAGGTCTCAATTTCTGATCTTTTGATCTTAATGACAAAGTGCATTTTACTAACTCAGTATCTGTAAAATATCTGTATGACTTGCAAGCTGCAATGTGATGAATTTTTTTTTAAAAACTCAACTTGCAGAAAAAAAACATTCTTCCTTCATGTTGGAGATTAAAGAAATCAGTTGCATTTATTATTCATCTCATCTTTCCACTACTACCAAATCTAAATATTTCTAATGGATTTCCACAAATTCATTATGCTTTACATTGGAGAGGCGATGGCCTAGCGGTATTATCGCTGGACTATTAATCCAGAGACCCAGATAACGTTCTGGGGACCTGGGTTCGAATCCTGCCATGGCAGATAGTGGAATCTGAATTCAATAAAATGTTTGGAATTAAGAATCTAATGTTGATTGTCAGGAAAAGCCCAGCAGGTTCACTAATGTCCTTTAGGGAAGGAAACTGCCATCCTTACTTGTTCTGGCCTTGTTGTGACTCCAGACCCACAGCAATGTTGTTGACTCTGAACTGCCCTCTGGGCAATTAGGGATGGTCAATAGATGTTGCCTAAGCAGCAGCACCCTCATCCCATTAATGAATAAAAAAAATTACACTGCAAATTCAGCATGTTGCCTTTAACATTCTAGCTTTATTTATTCATATCCCATGGAAGCAATCAGCTATAAAGAAACGGGACTATTGCTTAATTTCAGGTTGGCACTCCTTGCCCCATTTCCCTACGGTCAGTTCCTCAGTCATAAGCAAAATATTGCAGATTGAGGTATTGCTCCTCCCCAAATGAGAGCCTACCAGCACTGTCTGACTGGTTGAGTGGATGGCCCCTATTTTTCCCTACCCTGAGCAAAAATAACTGCAGTCCTGTTGGGAATACGCCCTTTAATTAGTCATTAGTCACGGCCAATGGATTCCAAGACAGGTGGAGTTAAGAGGAAAGAGATTTGACATGAATAGTTGCTTGCAAGGTAGAGGGGCTTAGAAGTTTTGTTTCTGAGGAGAGATATGATTCAAAGGAATTGGGGGGCATGGGGAATGGGAAGGTAGGTGAAGAGGTAGAAAATACCAGGAAGAGAGAGAATCTGTGTGGTCAGCAGTTATTTGGAATGGCCAGGGAGCAGGAAGGTGGGCTCATTGATGAGGAGAGTTTAGACAGGAGAGGAAGGAAGAGGAGAGTAACTAGGAGGCAGAACTGAACTCATGGTTAAGCAAATGGAGGAAGCTATGGGTTAGAAGGGAGTGAAGAACAAATGGTCTTAATCTTTGTAAGAAAAAGAAAAATCCATGAATTCATCACATTTATTGTTGGAGTTGAGGCTTCTAAGAGAAGATGTGTCGTGAAGAGAAGCTGGCTATTACCATTGCCTTCCTGGATGATCTTGGAACAGCAGACAGTTTTTGAGTGATGAAAACCATTGTGTGATAACGCTTTGCGATTTAATCAGATCTGGTGAAGAATTGCTAAGCTATTTAACAATTAATTTCTTACTACTGGTTAAACACTTAGTTCTTTTAACTGGTGAAGGCAAAAGTCTAATGAATTTGGAACACAACAATATAAAAATCCAATATTTTGTCGACAAATTTGATTAATCTTTCAGTATGACTGCTTTACAGCTTCATGGTCTGTAGAAACTATTCCACCCAGGCAGAGCTTCACAAACTGTATCTCAAAAAAGAAATGAATTTCAACAAAACAATGAGTATATGATTTAGAATACTGCTTAATTTTACAAACTTGATGCCAAAATAAAATCTATATTCCTTAAAGTGCAATACGAACAAGTTTGTTTTCTTTACCCTGTACTCCATGGAGAAGAGTCGGATGCCTCACCCTGAGTTAACATGTGTATATTAGGACCATGGGGGCTTCCCACTAGAACAGTAGGTGTTGTCGGTGTCCGTTGAGGTGTACTAATTATCTAAATTGGAAATGGAAGAAATAGAAAGGGATTAAAAATTGTTTAAACAAACAAGACAGTTTAAAGATAACAGCACCATCTTGGACTTACCATCTCAACTCCTTCTCAAATCGAAAATAATTCTCCATGAGATCATACTAGTTTAAAGGTTAAATACATAACAAATTGTATATTCTTTGTAGAAAAGCCAGAAAACAATATATTTCGATTGCAATGTATGGCGTTTCAAGAACAATGGGTAGAGGAGCTCTCCTGTCCATAAGATAATTTATTAAGATGTACAACATAACTTCTCATTTTCATGACTTTTTAAACAAGCTCCTAGTCCTATAATCATGAGTATACAGTTATATTTGTACAGTACACTATCACATGATGTACTACGGTGAGAGGAAAAAGCCTGGTCTTCGATTTCTCCACCAATGGTCGGTTAGGACTAACTTCTTTAAACAGAGCAATGTTAGAGCATGGAATGTTTAAGATAGAAATTATTTCAATGCAAGGTAAAATTGGATAACTATTTGAACGGTGGGAGGAAAAATGGCCATGGTTGCAAATTTGGGATTTGCTTCAATTGCTTTATATCGCAAGGTGTTATGCCATATCCCCTTCTTAGTCATCCTTAGCTAGATTTTCTTGCAATAAACACAATCCCAGGAACAAAACAAAAAATGACTTATTTCCAGGTCTTTGTCAATGCTGATCAGAAGCTAATTACTGGAGGTACAAAAGAACAGTTTAGGCAACTCTCAGGAAAGAGCCAGGAAATTAATACCTCAAAATTTTACCAAAAACCCCACGATTATTAGCTTGTATTAAAAGTACTAAACCAAACAATTTCAACTCTTTTTCAACAACTTTAACCCTACGCTCAATTTCTATTTTCTCTAAAACATTTTCTGCTGAAATAAAATATCATTAATATCAAAAATCATCAGACACAAATGAAGATAATGAGTGTTGGTAGCCTATTCAACCAGGCACGTGAGAGCAGGCATAAGAAACGGTGGGTGTAAACGGGGGGAGAAGCTGATAGTCAAGCTCAACACATTCAGGAAGTGTTATGGAATTAGCGATGTTGGAAAAATCTAGTTGAATCATAGTGTAACATGTCCACTCACTATGGAGCAACAAGCATAACACTGACACCTGTTGATAAATTAGGAGAATATTAGATAGTATAACACGTCAATGAATGCCATATTGAAAATGGAAACCATTCAGATTTGATAAGATCACAACTGATGTATTGCATCCTGTTGTATCGACAACACCATGAGAAACATTACTCTATATTCAAGCTCAGAAGGCAAAGGCACAAGGTAAACTTTTATGCTGAAGAAAGTAATTTGATTTTGGGATCTTCGGCATTGAAGATCATAAAAGGCAGACATCACTCAGATAACTATTTATGTTGTTATGCAGAAAAGTAACCCTGTGCACTATTTAAAAGGGTATAGTTTTAAACTGACAAAGACTAGTCTAAGTAGTTTGTGAAGAATCAACAATTTATTTTCCTACTCATTCACAGAATGTGGGCATTACTGGATTATTTGTTGCCCAGTTGTAATTGCTCGAGAAGGTGGTAGTGATGATTTTCCTTCTTGAATCACTGCAGTCCGTCTGGCATTGGTACATTCAGAGTGCTTTTTGTGGGTGGGGGGCAGGGTGGGAAGTATTCTGGGATTTGCTCTAGCAACAGCAAAGGAATGGTGAATTACCTCCAAGTCAGAATGACGTGTGGCTTGGAGGGAAACTTGCAGGTGGTGATGTTTCCATACATCTGCTGCCTTCGTCCTTCCAAGTGGTAGATTTAGAAGGTGCTGTCGAAAGAGATTTGGTAAGCAGCAACAGTGCAACTTGTAGCCTATACACATTACTGTGCCTTGCTGGTGGGGTAAGTGAGCGTTTTAGGCAGCAGACGTCTTTATTCTGGATGGAAGTCAAGCTATTGAGTGAAGATGGAACTGCACTCATCCAGGCAAGTGGAGAATATTCCATCACACTTCTAACTTGTCTGCAATGTGAATAACAGACAGGATTTGGAAGTCATGAGCCGCATTGGTACTGTCACAGTATTCCCAGCCCTCCTCTCACAGCTACAGTATTTGTATAGCTAGTCCAGCTCAGTTTCTGGTCAACAGTAACCTACAGACTCTTGATAATGGAGATTTAGCAATGGTATTTCCACTGACTGTCAAAGGAAGATGGCCATTGCCCCACACAAGTGCCAGGCAATGTTATGCATCACTTATCAGCCAGTCCTGAATATTGTCCAGGTCTTGGTGCATATGGACAGACTGCTTCTGTAGGAAGAGTTGTTAATGGTAGTAAAAAAATGTACAATCATCTTCAAATATCTTTATGAAGAAGGAAGATCATTGAGAAAGCAGCTGAAGATTGTTGGACACACGTCAACACTCTGAGGGACTCCTGTAACAATGTCCTGCGCTGAGATGATTGATCTCTAACAATCACAACCTCCTTACTTTGCACTGGACATGATGCAACCAGCGGAGATTTCCCTCCTTATTTTCAATGGCATTAATTTTACTGAGGGTCCTTGATGCCGCTCTCTGTTTAATGCTTCCTTGATGTCAAGTGCCATAATTCTCATCATTTCTAGAGTTCAGCTCCTTTGCTCATGTTTTGACCAAGGCTGTTATGGGGTCAAGAGCTATGTGGTCCAGCAGGAACACAAATTTTCAGAGAAGATTGTTTTTTTTAGATGCTAAACATTAGCTCCATTAGTGACTTCTTCCATCACTTTGCTATTGCTTGAATCAACTGAATGGACTATAATTAACCTGACTTTAGTGAAAAAAGACAATTGGGCAAATTTTCGTATTGCCAGGTAGATGCTAGTGTGGGCCCCTTGTAGCATAGGGGTTGTGTCCCTAGCTTTGAGCCAGGTATTCCAGCTTCTTGTCCAACCTACTCCAGGAGGTGGGTAATAACATCTCTGAACAGGCTGATTAGAAAATAAGTAGATGCTAGTGTTGTAATTGTGCTGAAATAGTTTGGCCAGGGGCACAACAGTTCTGGAACACGTTCAGTATTGCTGCTAGAACGTTGTGAGGGCCTATGGTCTTTGCAGCATCCAGTGTCTTCAGTTTTTTCTTTCTATGACAAGAATTGATCAAAATTGGTTCAAGTCTGGCATCTGTGATGTTGCGGACCTTAGGAGGATTCAGAGATGGATTAACTACATGATGCTTCTGACTGAAGAGGCTGTAAATACTTCAGCCTCATCTTTATTGCTGACGTACTGGGCTCACCCATCATTGAGGATGGGGATATTTGTGCGACTTCCTCCTCCAATTACATGATTGAACATCCACCATCATTCATGGTTGGATGTGGTAGAACTGCAGACCTTAGATCGGATCCACTGGCAGTAGGATCACTTAGCTCTGTACACTACATGCTATTCCCAATGTTTGGCATTCTATTCAATATTGTGTTCAGTTTCATCAAACTGACAACTTTTTTTGGCATGCCCTCCTGCCCTCTTCAATAAACCAGAATCTCCTCACTTGACCGCAATGGTAGAGCGGAGGATTTGTTAGGCAATGCGAATTGGAATGGACTTGCAAACTATAGAAGTGAAGAATAAAAATATACAATCGTATTAGAGATAGGTAGCTGTAAAGCAGTTAAATCAAAATGCACAGAATGACTTTTTACATTCTTATTTACCTTGCAAATGTTCCTCAACTATTATCCAGGTAACCTTCTGGAGGAGCTTCGTGGATCAAATGGGCATCTAATCATCTCCTCTCCCTTTGCATATCTGAGTAAGGGATTGAGCTCAGTTGCAATATTTTCCTCACTATTGGTCATATAGTTGTATCACTATCAAGACTGCCTACATGGTAAGGTTATCAAGAGAGCTACCAACACTCATTGAACCTTCAGAAGAGGCAAGATAATGGGAAAGAAATGTCACCATACTGCAACAGTCAACATTTGGCGTTTGAAAGCAGCGTCCTTACCATCTGAGGAGCGTTACTAACATTTGATAGCCCCAGTGTTTTTGGCAAAATTTGTTTCCCTGGGGTCGTGAGGTGCGAAGATGCTACTGTCACTAATGCAACTGTAAAGAGAAAGAGAGAGGTTGCAAGCACCAGCACCATCTTCCGGTATTCACATTAGCAATGGAAACATTTGGTAGTTCAAGATGCTCTAGCATCTGTATATTTGTCAATTACAAGAAATAAAAAAAGGAAGCCAGTGAGATGCTACAAGATGCAGGCAAACAAGTTGCATAATTTTGTAACAACAAACATAACTTGTTGTGCAGCTGTGTTTTCTTTTAATTAATCAAGTCTATGGATGCCAGCAATCTCCAAAACACTAATAAATTACTTCTGAAATTTTAGTCTTGGATCACATGTTTTATTGACAGAAGCCAATAGTTGGATGTAACAACAGCACTATACATGTTGCGCAGGTTAACCTTGTTTTTAGTTTTAATGCAAAATCTCTTGCTCCAGTCAAAAGTTACCACTCAGCTCTGAGAACTGAGACTATCATCCCAGGTAACGTAGTGCACTCTGGGCAGATTCCAGAAGGTTTTCCATGTAAAACATGAACAATCCAAGTAACTAGGTGTGGTAATACAACCATAAAATCGAGACATAGGATGAAACATGTTTAACAGAAGAAAAACTAGATCTCAAGCAGGGACACAACTTTGTCTCTGCATTCCTGGGAATGAAGTGTGGGTGTATGCATGTGTTCATGTTCATTCTGGAGGGTCCACAACGAGCACCACAATTTGTGTTAACATCCAGCAATTCCTTCTAGAAAGTACATATGGATGCAAGGAGAGAACAGGTATGGATTCAGCTGTAATACCCTCTTTAGTCAAGCACCATGCCAACACTCACTGAATAGGCTGACTGAAGGAATGATGGTGAAAGATACCAGAGCCCTCCTGCCATCTGTAAAGTATCCTGATGTTATTGATTGGAATAGAACTTTTCTAAAGAATGGAAAAAGTTGCTTGCTGGAACCTGACAATGCAAAACAATTACTAGCTTGTTTCAAAGAGCAAAAAAAAAAAAATCGCTTACACAAAAATGATAAACATATATTTCAGTATGCCCTTTTATGCAAGCAGAAATGGTGAATAACTTGAATAGTTTTATAATCCAAAGTGAAACCTAACAGTACTGGCAATGAAGCTAAGCAATGTCACATCAACTATCTAATGAACCTCTAATACTTTCTACTTAATTTTCATTTTTGTGGGAGTTACAGCACAAAATGGACAAATTATCTCCATAAAGAGAACTGCTAATAACCTCTAGAACCACAACAGATCAGAAGCAACGGTATCCACCTCCCTCTCTAGATACAAGACTGAGTGAAAATCAATACCTTCCCTTCATTCATCAATAATTATTTGTTTTGGACCATTAGGCTACCAAATCCATGGTAGGTTCAGCTCAGTGTTTCGTCATTCAGGCAGCAGGATGTATTACAGTTCCAAAAATAAAACTGCAATATTTGATGGGACAGCTATATTGTCCTCTGCTTGAGATCTGTAAAAAAAGAAAAATTACTGGGGCTCGGGGTGTGTGTGTGTGTGTGTGTGTGTGTGTGTGTGTGT